CTTAAAGATCCAAAATTTTTTGTGTATGCCAATAGATTTCATCTAGGCTATTTGAAATGGACGAATCCAATTCATTTTTCCTTTCTTACACTTGACGTCCCACTGGGCGTGCCAAAAATTGTTGGCTTATTTTTCCTACGAAGGAAAATATCATAAATCCGAGCGTCCCAGCAAGGATTGAAAAATCCTTACAAATTAAATTCAAACCAATTATCAAACGATTGCGTTGACGGTTCTTTTGCCTCAACAAAAGGACTTCAAAATTGCGAAGTGTAAAGAAAACAAAAATTAAAAAAAGAAAGAAAGAAATGGAAAAAGATGATTGAGTGAACAATCAAAGTAATAATTACTTATCTCTACTCCTATGCTTTGAAAAGAAAGTGCATAAAATGCTTTGAAAAGAAAATACTGAAAATAATTGCTTCGAAAAGAAAGTACGTAAAATAAAATGCAGGAAATATAAATGACAAGAAAAATAAAAATCAGGTGTTTTTTATTTGAGTTTTTGATCTTTTACAAAGTAGCCATTGATGGCTATTTATAAAGGAATAAAATACTGTAATAACTACTTAGTAACTACCCATTTCTCTCATATTCACTTTAGTCGCTGAAGACAAATAAATTATTTGCTAAAAAAAAATTAGGCTACTTTTGGCGACTAAAACCATTTTTTTGTCGCTAATTGTATTATTTTGGGCTACTGATTATTTATTTGTCGCTAAAAAAACAAGTTCTCAATTAAAAATTAGCACTTTTGGCGACTAAACAGAAATTTCGTCCCCAAAACCACTACTTTGGGCGACTAAAATGGATTTTCGTCGGCAAAACCCCCACTTTCAGCGACTAAATTGTTTTTAGTCGGCAAAACTGCTATAATCAGCGACTAAACCTGTTTTTAGTCGCCAAAACCATACCTTTTCGCTACTAAATTATTTTAGTCGCTAAAAACCATGACTTTTGGCTACTAAACAAACTTTAGTCGCTGAAAACCCTATATTAGGCGGCAAAACTTCCTTTTAGTCGCTAAAAACATGTTGTTCGGCAACTAAACCCTTTTAGTCGCTAAAAACTTGCTTTTAATAATAAAAAATCTGATGTAGGTATACATATAAAAAATATTAAATAAAATAAAAAAACACTTTTTGAAGTTAGTTTAATTCAAAAGAAAAATGGTTGGGAGCACTAATGATGTGGCAGTGGGCGCTTTTTTTTTTTTTTTTTTGGTTTTTTTAATGTACTAGTACTATTAATGGTACTTTTTTTTAATAGTATGAATCATTGTTGAATTCAAAATTTGTTGAGCGATGCTCTTAGTTTACTTTCCTATCGTTTAAAAGTGAAAATTATTTTTTACTCACAAAGACTTGTTTTCCATTAATTATAGAAAATGTTTTTATTGACTTTTATTTTTCACTGTACTATAAATATCAAAAAATATGAATAAAAAATAAAATTAAAAATACAAACAGAACATTAGTAAAGAAATAGAATGTTGAGATAATAGGGGATTACCACGATGAGGGAATCGAGTAGCTTCACATTCAAACATCAATGGAGATGACACCATCATGGAGAAGATGATCATGATAAGGCTCACCATAACAGATGTTGTGGAGCTACTTGCCATTGTTGAGTAGTGTTCATTAAAACAAGCCTTGCTACCTAAATTTATATAGCTATTGAGAGGACATTTTAGTCAACATCGTGGTATCTTGTTTGCATTTGCATAATTAGCTGATTTATTTGAATTTAAAGTTTTGTTATTAATGGAAACTAATCAAGGATAAATTTATACAGCCATTGAGAGGGCATTGTAGGTTTTACTGAAAATATTATCGGTATAAAAAATTAAATTGATTGAATATCAATGATAATTATATGATCATATCATATTTTTATTAAAAAAAACAGATAACAAGCGTGATTTTAAGAATATACAATCCATTTTTTTTAAAGCAAATATAATTAAATCATGTCATCGATATCTAATCATAATTATTTTTACCCAAATACCTATTCAACAAACCTTATAGATAGATCACTGACATGAATTTCAAACAAACCCAACAAAATTAAGTCAGCATGTTGTGACATGTAAATTTATCATTACTTGATTGATATGAAATATCCACGTAAACAGTGTGAGATGGTGATGTGTGACCATAAGAACTAAAAAAACACTGAAAAAGAAAATAAAAGAAAATTATGATATTCAGTATTTTTCTACCTTTTATATCACAGGGTATATTTACAACCATTTATATTAATTAATGTATAAGCCCACTTTGATATGAAATTACAATATATTAATTAATGCATAAGCCCACTTTGATATGAAATTGCAATAAAGGACGTCTGTCCCACCCTATGCATTAAGTGCGTGCTGCTAGCCCTTGCAGTTAAGACCTTCAGTTTGCTTTAATTACAGTATTTTCTACAATTTTTTTTTTATTATTATTTTTTCGGAGGGTGGTTTTGTTGCTATTGATAACCAATAACGGCCTCTTTTGAGGATAATAAAAAGTAATTTTTGACTTTTAACTTATTTTGATCACATTATTTTTTTATTTTTTTACAAATTTTTTCAAAAAAAAAAAAAATATCAAAAAATCTACTTTCAATCAATTTTCTAAAACAACCCAATATGTATAGGATTTTTATAAAAACACAATGGAATTAATATTGGCCTTGTTTGAAAAGGTGACTATTAATTTTTTTAAACTATTTCAATTTGTACTAAAATAATTGTATTTGAGAAGTTGATTGGCTATTTTTTTTAATTGATTTGATAATTGTGAGAAAAAAAATAAAACAATTATATAAATTAAATATAACATTTTGTTTTATTAACTATTTTAATCTATTTTATCTTTTGGGATTTTTTTTTTAAGATCCCTGGTATTAACATTTTATAGCATAAAGGACACCAAATATTTTCATAATGTCTAAGGTCCCTCAAGTTGATCCAGAGAAAATTAGTCCAGAGAAAATTGATCCAGAGAAATTATTCAACCCAGAGAAAATTCAAATTTCTCTGGGTTCAGTTTGACCAATTTTCTCTATTTCTCTGACCTTCGAGAGAATTTTTCAGATAAAATTTATACAATGGTCAAAATCCCAGAGAATTTCTCTGGATAGAAATTTTTTGACAAACTAATTACTACCAAATCTGTGAAATGAAAAAATTCATTCTGCACTCTCCTTATGATAATTTATATATAAATGAGTCAAAAACATAAACAAAAAGTCACATTACCCATGATAATAGAAAACTCCCTTCAACCAAAACCGAATCTAAAAGCAAAATACTTGATCCAAATCTTCACATCATCTGATGCAACATAAGTCCTTGATTAGCCAGCACCAACAAGAGAAGATGGAATAGTTGCTGAAAAAATTTAGTCAAAACCAGAAGGAGAATGAAAATGTAGAACAAGGGATGAGAAAATCCTTCAATTGTGAATATATATATATAACTATGGCTGCCAATTAGGTGGAAGGGAAGAAAAGGAAAGGAAAGGGAGAAGGTATGGAGGAAGCTGCTGTGAGAAGGTGGGGGAAAGAAAAGGGAAGGAAAGGGAGAAGGTATGGAGGAAGTTGCTATGAAAATTGAAAAGGAAAGGGAGAAGGTTGGTCCAGAGAAAATGAATGAAAAATTTCTCTGGATCACTCTAAGCCAGAGAAATTCTCTCAAAATCAATGAAATTTCTAAAGAAACATTTCCAGAGAAATTCCTTTCCAACTCAGAAAAAATCACAAAAACCCAGAGAAATTTCCCTTGCATGATTTCCTCAAAAACTCACTTCAGATTGATGTCCATGGGATTTGAATGATGGATAGGCAGACAAAACACTGGTGTGAAAACTATGAACTGCAAGTCGGCACAGAGAAAATTCATATGTCCAGAGAAAATTCACAGTCCAGAGAAAATTCATCAACGTCCAAGGGGCATCACGATCTCAGAGAACACACTTCAAATTTGCAAAACATAAATGTTACAGACAATTTCATCAATGTCCAAGGGGCATCACGATCTCAGAGAACTCAATTCCAGGAGTTGCATCTGAGTTGTTCCCTGTGCCCATTGTGGCGATGTAAAAATCCATGTTGTTTAGTACTTCAACCTTACCTGTTTCGACACCAGTTTGAAGTTTCAAAGGCAACTCTAGGTTCCAAAGAACCTCACCCATAGTCGGCCTCTCTACACTATGTTTGGCCAAGCAATTCATGGCAATTTCCAAAAACTTCACAAATGACTCTTGATGTTGTTCCTTTCATACTTGTGTCTGCAATCTGGTCCGCGGTACCATTATGGAGGTGAGATGATACCCACTCTACTAAGTTTACATCTTCCTCTTCTGCTACGGGATTCATTACCAACTTCGCAGAAAGCACTTCTAGCAGTACCACACCAAATGAGTAAACATCTGCCCTGTGATCCGGAAGTCTCTGTAGCACTTGGAGCACTAGTTCATCGTCGCCGCTGCACCGAAGAAGCCACACCCATTGGCGTGAGATCACAAATAGCGCATTCGAACCATCTTCTATGATGGTGAAATGCGATCCTCGCCATGGCAAATACATGGCTTGTTGTCTGATGTACAGAGGCGATGTGGTGCCCAAAGACGTGAATGCTGCGGTGGCAACCATCTGAGAAAGATGTTACCTGCCGGAGCTCTATTGCCTAACAAAGAACAACTCAATTACTCCATCGCGATTGAGTACGACAGCCCTCCTGTGCCCTACCAGGTCCCCAAGGTCGATCTATTGGACGTCGATTCCATCTCCATTCACACCACTTCAATCGTTTCTGTTTCCGAATGCGTACCAGTTGTCCCTATTGCTGTCCCGACCTTCGATAGTTTCGGGACAAAGAGTCAAATTTCTCTGATACATGTTTAGGGACCTTAGACATCAAAAAATAATTTTGTGGATCTCTTCCATTACGAAAAGTGGGAGAGGGACCTTAAGCCAATTTTCCCTTATCTTTTAATAGACTATTTGAACTTTAACCCTCTTCACAAATACCCCATTATATTATTCCAAAAGAACCATAAATACATAATATTATTTCACGATGTAGTAGTCAACATCGAAGCACACAAACAAAAACAAAAAACCAAAACAAAAACCCCTAAAAAAAGAAATGCATCTAAAAGTCTCCATCACCATTCACACGCTAAAATTATCAACCCATAGCTCCAAATTTTCACCATCTCAGCTTCTCAGGGAAGTACTGCAACAACATTCCATCAATTAATTCGTTAGAAGAACAATAAACAAGAACTGTAAATATTTGGCATTAAGAATTAATTAAGTACAATTTACAGTTTAATTTGTTTGTCTTTAGATTGTATTTGAATCTTTTGATTTGTAGAGAAAAGAAAGGGATTGTGAATAATGTACAAATGAAATTTTATTTTGTTTTCCTTATAATATCCAACCACAACACTCAATTAATTCGGACAAGTTTTAGCAATTCTAGAATTATGATGATATTGGACGGTTGTTCTAAGATTCATAGTGAACTTATTTTGTCAGTTTTGCCCATGAACATAGGCTTATATTCAAATCACATAAATTCTTATTTATTTTGTGGGTTAGTTTTGCTTTTAATTTTTATTTTTTTTTTCCAATTTTTCATGTTAAGATAAAAAGAAAGGCGTGTTGTCCTTCAACTAGGGAGGATCACAATGTCACAATGGTGGTGCTCACCTTTTTAATGAGAGAGAGATAGTATGGCTTGACTTTTTCGACATCGATTCTGACTTTGCTCTTACTGTATAGGTCATACTTGCTGCACACAAAAAAAAGAAGAAAAAAAATGAAAATACTAATTTATTAGTTAACTTTAACAATTATTAGCAAACAGTAATAAGAACAATTTTCATATATTAAGAATCAGCTTACTTAAATATTTGGAGCCACTTTAGATTCTCAATGTCTTCTTCATTCATCAAGTGTTTGTATGCTCCTGACTTATGTAAAGCTGAAGAAAGCAAAATCAAATATTTTGTTTTTTAACCTTATTATAAAATGACTGTATATCACACACTTATGCTTTTTTTGGCTTACCATAAAATGAGTGATATCTGATAATGAAAAGGCCCGCTGAAGGTAAAGTTGTATGGTTTTCCTTAGCCACCTAAAAAATAAGATGACAAAAGTAGATTTTCACATCCAATTTCTTAAGGTTATGTTTGTACTATAGATTATTAAAAAAAAATTCCCATTTTTTTCCTTGATAAATCTAAGATCCATGCAAGAATAATTTAGAAAGATTTGGAAGAAGTACCAAATACATGTAGTCATCATGGCCCCATGACATCATCACATTGTTGAGTCCACAACCCTCAGAATAAATTCCAAATTTGGTGTTGTAAGCTGGATTGTCATAGTCTGCATTTTCTTTGAAGTACTGCACCACGAACCCAAAAACATGCAACAAAATTTTGGAAGAAAAAAAAAAAAAAACTTTTAATCATGTTTATGATGGGTTCTTGTAAAGAGGCCGACCTTGTGATGGACAATTGTTTCGTCAAAAGCACAGCCTACTGGGAATGTGTCACCTACAATGTTTGATGTTTTATCAGTAAATCTAAAATGGGAAGTAATTAGAAACAGAATTATATTATATAGATTACAAGTTCGATAGAAAAACAAAGTCAATACATGAAACATGGTACTTTACCTACAACAGCCCATTGAGGAAGCTCCCCAAAGCTAGGAAGAAGAAGAACCTTCCCAAGATCTGGAAATCCATAATACGGCCAAGTTAACCATTTTGTTACATGTAATTGAAATTTCTTAATGAAAGAAAATGTTAGTCATTGCTTAATATGTGGTTCATTAGCTTCGGTGTAAGCATAACTAAAGTACAAAAATTTATAAACAACAATGCAAGGTATCAAAAAAATAATTAAATCTAGACCGTATTACAATTTCTAGGTAAATTTCTGCACTATATTTTTGATTTGTATTAAAAAATGTATAGAAATATGTACAAGCGATCAAGATTATGTGAAAATTATATAAACTTTTTAATTATTTTGACATAACCCTTAATGGAAATCATTATTCTAACTTGTATCTTCTAGGGCTTGTACCTTTGAACTATAGGTCAAGCTTGCCTTAGCAACACATACCAAAGAACGGCCCAAATAGGCATATGGCCCAAAGTTAGGAGTACGCGTTTACGTGGGTGTTAAAAATAGAAATAATAATGTGCAAATTACGAAATACTACAATTACTCAAGCACATAGTCATGTAATGTTTCTGACCCATTAAAATTTATTTTCTTACTAATTACCGTGGAAGAGTCGTGAGTAATGAAATTTAGTCTAACACCACTAATAAAGGTCCCAAAGTTAGGTTTGGATTAACAGTGAATTTGTTAAAATTGAGCAATGGAATGGGAATCAATAGAGAATTTCAAAGTAATAAAAGAAGGGCATATTGGAATATTACCATGGATAAGGCCAGTCAAGTGAAGCCAATCTTCATTGGGATAGTCTTTCCTAATAGCTTCGGCTGTCTGCAATAAGTGCTCAATTTGAGGTTCATCCAAATCAGGGTCACTCTCATCCACAACATCATTTAGAAGCTCACAACATTCCCATATGCTCATCTCCACCTTGTCCACTTTCCCATACTTTTCTCTCATCTTCTTCACCTATACCAAATAATCATCATGAATTTAAAATTTTCTCAAACACAATAATGAAAATTTTAGAAAATCAAAATGAAAATTTCTAACACCAAAAATAAAATAAAATTCTAGCTTCATGCTTACAAAGTCGAAAGTTTGGTTGATGTGATTGACGCGGTAAAAATCCTCTACCCCTTGTTGCCTGAGACTCTCTGCATCATAATCCCTGTTTTTGCACTTGTATGTTAGAACAATTCCTCACTAAAAAGAGTCTAAACATACAAATTACAAGGTAAAACTTAAACAATACAAAATTATTAAAAATTTTAAATTGGAGAGGCACATGATCTTCTGTCTTTAAATTTCTCTATTATATATTGAGATAGAATCTCATCACGAAAAATATCAATTTGGCTTAATATTGGGTGACAGCTCTAATATTTTAATTATCAATTCTTTTAATCATCAATTGTGCATCAATATCATGTCAACACAAATTCTTCCACAAACTGAATTTTAATTAAACCTTTTTTTTTTGTGGGATATGCATCAACCTTTTTCCATTATATTTCACTGTTCTGATCACATGAAGCATTATCCATCAAGCAATAAAATAGGGCTTGTTTGTTTGAGTGGTCAATAATTAATCATCTCATCTCATCCCCATCCCCATCCCCATCCCCATCCCCTTTGGTTCTATGATGTACTTGGTTCTATGATGTACTTTGTGTTGAATAACCAATCAATTAATCAAAGTGAATATTAAAACTATATTATTTTATTCAGTATGTGTTGCCAAAATCAATCTAGGTTAAGCATGGAATCCCTGTTCTAGGACTGATTCACACTGTTTGGTTCTCGGGAAACAATCACAGACCTCACAGTGAAATATATATAATGATTTTATGGAGAGAGAAAAACCTAAAGTTTTGGCCAAATGAATTGATCTCTGGCACCACAAATCCACCATCCAACACCAATTCATTTTCATTGTTTGGGATCTTCTGTTCCTCATGTTCCTCATGAGCCTCAACTCCTGTTTTAAAAAATAAAAAATATATTTAAAAAATAATATAATTAATTAATTAATTAATTGCCTATTAATAATAACTAATGAAAAATCTAAAAACCAATCCCTCATAAAATTTAAAAGAAAAAGACAGAGAGAGAGAGAGAGAGAGAGAGAGAGAATCTAGAGGAAAAGACAATAATTACCAACAAAGGAAATACTAATCTCCACTTTTTTGTTTTCTTTTTTTTTTTCAAGGAAAAGGGTTGCAGGAACTGGGTATGAAATAAATAATTTGAATAATTTAAGCTCAAATTCAAAGTACAGATCTGTTTGAAATAGGCAAAAAGGGAACAGATCTGATTGTTTTCATGGTTTTTTAAAAATAAAAAAATAAAAAATAAATGGAAAGAACTGGTGAACCAAAAAATAAAATAGAGATGAAATAATAAAAAAAAGAAATAAAAAAAGAAAATTACCAAAGTCAGGTTGATCAATGAGGATAGTCATCCTGAATCAAAACCCAAATTCAAAAATCTCACAAACTCAACTAAAAAAGAGAGAAAATCAACAAGTCTTCTTCTATGGGGTGGTGACATTGTTGTGGAGGATTTTTGGTATTTATAATGACCGGACAGTCCTTCCCTGAGAATTCAGAGCTTCCGAGTCCTTCCCTGAAAACTTCTTTCTATCCTTCTTTGAAATTACTTATATTATATACATACAATAACACATAGAAAGAAAAAAATAATACTAATAATATTAAAATTAATACTGTGAGTGGATATAGACATATACATGGATACACACAAATAAAAGAGAGGTATTAGAGAGAGAGTTGGGTTGGAACACAGCATTGCCATGCAAATGCAAGTTGTCATTGAGAGAGAAACTCTCTCTCTCTCTCTCTTGCAAGTAATTATCCTTTTTCCTAAAACAATAATTATCCAAAAAATTATCCATTTAGAGATTTTAAATATAATCCATGTTTTACAAATTTTAAATTTACACTATCCATTTTATTCCTATTTCCTATTAGTTTTGTGCTAAATAATTAGGGCTAAATGTTTATATGATTCAAAAAAAAATTAAAAAAATATAATGCAGAGCCAATTGATCTTGCCGACCCATGTGAAAATTTCTTTGTATGAGTGAAAAATTATTAGTTAGTTTTGAAATATTATTTAACACTACTTAAATAGGGTCTCCATAAATAATAAAACATAAAACAAACAAAATGAGTCATCTTTTATTTAGGTAAACATTGTCCATTTTATAAAATACTTTCTCAAAAGTTATTACTAATTGAAAAAATTACATTAAGAATATTACATGATATTTTGAAAATATTAAATAATTATACTTTAGCCTAGAACATTATTTGGGCAATTATCTAATCACGTTTTATGATTTATCTCTCATGTAAATATTTAATCAAAAATGTACATTCTAGAAGAGTAAATTAAACTCTCTTCACCTTATATTTGAAAAAAATATAATTAATTTTACAGTGTTAAAATAATTACAATAACATTTCTTTTAATAAAGTTAAAACAATCATAATTAATAGAGATGGTGGATAGATATTAGAAGAAACAAAAATAAATATATATTTAATAATAAAAAAATATGATAATACTTTTTTTATTCATAAGACTAAAAAATTATTGATAAAAATAATCTAATTGTTATATGAATTAAAATTAAAAATTTATAAGAGATCAATGTAATTATATAAAAAGTTTAGGACTAATTATATATTTCCCAAACCTAAGGGGTGTTGAATGTAATTTCCATAATCTGTTATTTGAGATATTTATTTATCATCGGTTGTGGGGTCCACAGCCTCATCAGGGGTGACTCAGCTTTGAGTTGGATGTTGTCACGGACGGTTCAAAACCCTAGCGAGGTGGGTCCCACTGACGTGGCATCGTCAAGGACGATGATGACGTTTCCTCCTCCTCACTCACAAAAACAAACGTACGAACGAAACGGTGTTTCAGTTTCCCCGAGATTACCGTCGTTTCTCATAAGGAAACTTCAAAAACATAAATAAGATTTAGATTAGGTTTGTCATTTCCTAAAAAAAAATTAAAATATTAAAAAATTATTATTTTATTTAAGTCATATTATCGTATTTAAATTATATTATTTCTTTATTACATTATTTCAAATTCAACTCATATTCTATAAAAAATCAAAAAGTACATTTATTTAAAACATCTCAAACAACTCCTTAGAGCATCTCCAACCCATCCTCCATATCTTCAAATATGTAGGATCCTCTCCCAAAAACAACTCCAACCCATCCTCTATATCCTCCTCCCAAATGGAGGAAGATGAATTGATCCTCCAAATATAGAGGGAGGATGAAAAAATGGATGAGACTCTAAAATACTATTCATTCTATATTTCTTAATTATATTCGAAATAACTTTTAATGTGTAAATTTAATTTTTATAAAAATGACATCAATAAAAAGTATAAAAATCATACCTTTAAAATGAGTATAATATTAAATATGTTTTACAAAAATTTTAAAATTAAATATTTATTAATGAACAAAAATTACTTTTTGATTGGAGTTTGAATGAAGGAAATGAAGGTTTGTGGTTGGAGTTTGAATGAATAGTGACCTCCTCTATATTTACTTTTTGAATAAAAAATATTATTTCCATCCTCTTGGGAAGAGGATGTGGTTGGAGATGCTCTTAGGTTAGGTTTGGCATAACCTAAAAAAATTAAAAAATCAAAAAGTCACTATTCTATTTAAGTCACATCACTTCAAACCCAACCCATATAATATAAAAAGTCAAAAAGTACACTTATTTAGATCATCCCAAACAACCCCTAAAGATTGTTGGAGATAATTTGACGAATAATAATGCTCTATGTATTTATTAATGTATTAATTAGTATATTAATAAATAATGTTATATAATTTTAAAAGTTTTAAATATTTATTATTTATATAATAGTCGGGTCAATAATAATAGAATAATACTAGTTGTACACGACTCCAGTGTCACTGTTGCTGTTTGTGGGACTCATTTTGGTTCCTATTTGGTGATTCGAACCATTTCGGTTCCTATTTGGTGATTCGAACCATTAAAATTTTAGAAAATATCAAAAACAATATGCTTGTGAAAAATCAAGTTAACCGGATATTAATAACCACTTCATGAAATAACATTTGTATTTTGTTGGATACATATAAATTCATTTTTTTAATATAAAGATGTGATTTGATGAACAAGTTATTGGTATTTGATTAACTTGATTTTTTATAGGCATATTGTTCTCGATATTTTCTAAACTTTTAACGGTTCGGATCATCAAAATAGGATTCGAAATGAGTATCACAAACGGCACAACAGTCACCGCTGTGCTTCATGCACAGAAGTGACACTGCATACTTGGTACACTAGTATGTACATTAATTAGTGCATGTAATATCACTGTTCCCAAAATAAGCCAAAAATATAAAGGGTGAAAATTGTAATTAATATTACATAAATTAAAATTTTATACATAATTTTCATACATAATAATGATATGATTCATTATGGCCCTGTTTGATACAGCTTTTTTTCAGTTTATTTCAGCTTTCAGCATTATTTAAGCTATTTTGATGTGTTTGGTTTAGCTTAACAATGCAGCTTATAGCTTTTTGTAAGTCAGAAATCAGCTTATTCTTTGAGTGGGGCAAGAGAAACTTAATTTATAAGTCAGAAATCAGCTTATGTTCATAGTTATAAGCTATAAGCTGTTAAGGCATAAGCTATAAGCACTTTCTCACAGCTCTACCAAACAGGGCCTATGAACCTTTCATTTCAAAACAAAACACTATTAAATATTAATTTATTTAAAATAATAACATTGTCATATATTGTTATTATTATTTATTTATTTATTTTTATTTTTTTTGGTATAATGAGTTGTTTGGTATTCCCTAATTTAGCACATTTTTTTAATTTTATTTAGATTACATCATTTCTTATTTAATTCACATCACCTCTCTATTACTTTACACATACTTTTATAAAAAAAATAATAATAATATTATACGTACTAATTAGTGTACTAACTAGTGTGTCAATTGCTGATGTGGTATAATTTAAGAAGTTTTTAATATTTTTAATTTATATAATGAGTGGAGTCAATAATAATATCGTAACTAGTGTTAATATACTAGTTAGTACATTAATTAATACATATAACACCACCGTTATAAAAAATCAAAACACATATCCATTAGTGCATATAGCAATATTCTTTTGAGAAATAACTTTTTTTTAACTTATTTATTTATTATAAAAAACGTGCAAAAGTAAATAGAGATATAATATGATCTAAATAAATCAATAAATTGATATTTTTCTACCTTCTCAAAAGAGGTTATCATTTTTTTCGCTTTTGACTCTTTACATTTTAATTTTTTTTTATTTATTCTTTGACGTGGTTAGGCCCACAAAGGTTATAGCTCTCTATGAACAATCCAAACCCATCACTTCGAGCCCAACACATAACCCAACTGATGAGATCCTGAACAGCTGAAAGCCAACATGGCACGAAGAACCAATGATATTCAGACATGTGGCAGGTAAAGGACAAGCCACATCAGCAGACAAAGATCTGCAAAGTTATTGCCACTGCACATCGCCATTAATGCAGCCCATCACAGCATTTATTACGACAACACCTCTCTGTCGGAACAGCACCCCCTTACCCTAAACAAGGTAAGCTACAGCATAGACTTTCGGCCAAGGTGGCAGGTCGGAAGGGACAGCAAAATGATTACCAAAGGATATAAGCAGACGTTGAAGACAAGAAGAAGGTTAAGTTTTCTATCTCCAATTCATATCTCTACATTACACTTCTCTCTCTCTAACTTGCTCGTCGGAGGGTTCGCTAGGGGACTCCCCGTTCCCCTATTGAACTTGTGTGTAGGTTCTCTAGTGGGTTTGAACACTCAGTTACCGGTTGAAGAAGCGTAGATTAGTCCGACCCATTCTACCTCGGACCCATTGTATCGTAACTGTATCATCAATTGACGCCGTCTATGGGAACGCTTTGCTCCCCGCGCCAGTTGTGTTCACTGTCGCCGGAGACCCTGTTCCAATAACCTTTTCTCGCTGCCCATCGAAGTGTATGGTCACCACTAGATCCATGGCTTCTCACCAAAATACCGCCGACCACCAAGCCGACCCCCCCAATCCAAACAACCCACCACAATATTTCATCGAGCTTACCAGCAGCATTAATCGCATGGCCGAGCAAAACCAAGCCCTGATTAATGCCCTACTCCAAAGAAACCTTCCTATACCCCCTCCACCACCTCCCAATATTCCTCCCAACCACGAACAAGCCTCGAGCCATACTATCCCGCAGCCTAATCTACCCAATAGAGAAGGCTTGCAACCCCCTCCCCCAAGTATAAACCTGCCACCCCGGGGCCCACAACCATCGATCCCGGCACCAATCCTTGAAGGAGAGGACAACAGCATCCAGCCCCCGTTGCCCTCCAGAGGTGACCACATCCCTCTCTGGGACGCGAAACTCCGAGCCATGAAGCTCCAACTCCAAGGGGTCATGCAGAACATCCAGCATAAACCCTCTACCACAGCAAACTCATCATTTGTCACCTCCATTCGGGACAAACCTCTACTCCCCAAGTTCAAGATG